GTGGTCGCGTGTCGACCAATCAGACATTTTTTGCCGGTGAAGGGGATCTGGGCAAAAAAGTTCGCGCATGCTCATTACGTTTTTCCGCCCTGAACTGTAAGGGTTACTATTTCTACTCTCCCCAATCTTCCACTGTCATAAAATCAAAGATGGCGGCTACAACAACATAACGAACATGAACAAGGTTTTGCCCACCTAAAATACGCCTGCACTGCAGGCTAGATCTCGACTATCTTACGTCAAAATTCGGGACTGTGAACAGTCCACGTTTAAGTCCTTTGTTACTTCTTTCATACTGTCTCTTCTTCGCTTTAGTCTAGCCACACAACAATGATAACTTCCGATCATTACTCAGCATCAGTGTTTGTAAATTCGTGGTTCTTCCTAATTACCCTGATAACGACTGGTAAAAACGAGTGCTGTTCTTTTTTCGAGTATTTGATCAGTCCCTGGAGTAGTCTCGGCTTTTGACAACTGCTGTGCTTCATGATGAGATTACAGATACAACGATGACTGATGGCATTTCACATAGGAAAAACGTTCTTTGCTTGGGAACAAGTGAACATGACTATGCGAATTCTTAGGGAAAAGCAGTGTTCAGTCGGGGGGAGGGGTGCTTATCCAGAGCCTATCAAAAGAGGGAGCTCGTCCTCAAAAGCGATTTTTCTCGGCCCTGCGGGCTTCAATTTGGGCTAAAAACACTGAGGAGTGGAGCGGGAGTCTGCTGGGAGGTGTTTCATGAAATAAAGGGGCAATAGTTAAGGAGAACATGTTTTATTTTGGGGGAGTTAGGGAGAATCTTTCCAGTTCAACTATTAAACTCTTGACATGAACATGTTGATACTGAGAAGAAGCTGAAAAAATTCACGGCCCTCGAATTCTATGACAGAACCGTCGAGAAATTACGTATGCGACACAGTAATTGTAGTCGACACGATAATATAAAATTCGCCCGGCATTCCTGTATCGAGAACACCTCTCATTGTCAGGTATTTATGTAACTGCGATTTCAAAGAAGTCTCTGAAAAGGGAAGTCGTTTTCGTTAGACAACGTGACGCAAATAAATAATTAATTCAAGAGCACTCTACAATCGTTTACGGATCACGGATCGCCGCGTAAACCTCAGCAACTATATAGCTAATGAAATTTTAATGAACAAAGAAACAGTCAACAAGATAGTTAACAGCAGCTTTTTCGGCGTTGTTTTGTCCCGGTTTAGTTCCTTGTACGCGAAGTACAGTCATCCGGTGCGACGTGGATCTAATCACGACACTTACACATGACTTACAGGAACAAACAATCAAACTGATTAGAAGCTAATAATCTTGGACGAAAAATTTCAGCCCCCACTCCCTCGCCCTAATTTAAGGATGGGAAAATACCGGCCCTCGTGTGGCTTCATCCTTGATTTCGGGGGACGGAAGGGGAGTTTGCTTTTCAATTTTATTCAGTGTGCGAGACTGTAACTCCTGTCGCCAGATGCCTGAGTTATAAGGACACACCAACGGAGCGAGTACTGGCAAAAGCTTAGAAATCCATTAATACTCTATCACAAACAAAACAACCCTTTCGAACAGAAAATCTAGAAAAATATAAGTATTTAGCTGTCCTAATACATGAGAGCTGATGAAAGTGAAAACTCAGAAGAGTCGATAATTCTCGGTTAGTTTGAATGATGTCTTGTCGTCGCGTGTGAAACAAACAACAGCCCCCGGCACTGTTTCATGTGTCTGAATGATTTAGAAGCATCCAGGCTTGATACCAAACTATAGCAACTACACAAAACAAAGCAATGTGAAAAACAGCGGATCATGCAATGTGCGCAAAAAGAATGATCTATTGGGTGAACGGTTCATTGCTTCACTATTGTAAATGTATCAGGCATTTCAGTGTGCATTCACAAGCTAAGATGAGATCTAGAGTGACGGCGCATGCCAAATTCGTACGAGTTTTGACTGCAATTTAGACATGAGATTACAGTGCGTTTCCCCAAATTTTTGACAAACATTTTTGGAAGTTCTTTTGAAATTCCCGATGTTCACCACGAACTTAGCAATTTTTATAATTATGCAGTTATCAAGAAAATCGCGAACTTGAGAACGGAAGGGATCAATTTCACGTGAAAGTTCGAAGTTCGCAAGTTACGAGTTTCTCAAGTTCGCCGAAGTACGAGCAAGTTGCTTTTGAAATTGAATCGATATTTTATAATGGCAGATTTATCGACTTGGATGGAAACCTTCAAGGACAAAAAGGATTACAAAAGTTATCAGCTTATCTTTGACATCCTCGTCCCCAGGGCCTTTTTCCCTGGCTTCGGACGGGCGGGAAAAGGCCATAGCATCGGCCGGTCACATGACCAATAAACACCCAAATAACTTCTTTTCAATTAAAGCAAGTCATTGTGTTTTTGAACTAAGTGTTCCGTGTGTGTGTTTATTTCATTGCGCGATTGCGACCGAGTTTGATTATAGAATTCAGTACAACCGGTTCAGAGTTGTACTGCATGCAGTTGATAGTTTGAACGTTAAACATGAACTAGGATCGAAAAAAAATAAGCAATTCTGTATAATGCAGACATTTCCAAACGATTTTTCTCGGTTTGGCACTTGAAAATCGTGTTTTACTTTTTGCATGAATTAAAGCAAAGGTCAAGCAGTAGTGACGTCACTGGACGGCATTAACGGCCGGTCGATTCAGACGTCACTGAGGGAGTACACTAACGACTCGAAGTAATCGGATGAAATTCAGGCTAAACTGAAGGTACTATGAAAAAAAGTTCAAATGCGGTCCTCGGTTGAAAGAAGAAAGTTTGCAACGATGCTTGGCTTGTTATATAAAATCCAGCATTTATCTATTACGTCGTTTGCGGAAGGAATCGTGCTGGAATTGGAAACTGGCGTGCAATGTTTGTCCGAGAAAAATTAAAAACACTTTGCTGACTCTCAAATTGGATCCAGCAGAGCTTACAAAAGAACGATGGTGGCGGGGAAAGAATTGCTGAACTTCGAAAATCTACAAGAAAGTTGCAATCAATTATTAAGTAAGTTCCTGGCGGCTTTATAACGTCTATAACCAGCAAGAAGTCCTTAAACCAAAAACCGTTAAGGATTATAGATCGCTTCGTCTTCAATAATCCGGTCGTTGGTAAAGCGTAGCCTGAGCGGTAGGCGTTTGAAGTCAAACAGCAGATAACAAGCACAAAGACCGCATGATTTTTCCTCTATTTCTTCTAGTGGGTAAAGCACGCCGTTGGGAGATGAGACTTCTTAAAACCAGCTGTCAGTAAAACTCATCTAGCTGACAGCTCTTTGGCTTTGAACGGTACATTATTTTTATTTTATTTTATTATTTTGCCAAACAGAATAAATTACAGTTAGAATAAAAAAGATAATAATACGTTAATTAATATTAAAGTTAAAACGAGCATACAACTTGGAAGGGGTGACTGTGGCGCGGAAATCTCCGAGAAGCCGAGCTTATGAGGAATAGAGATTTTCCCCCACGGGCAATTTAATACTACGCGGCATTTAAAAGTAAAGAAAAAGACGTATGTTTTAAGTATATAAGTGAGTTTAGAGAGAAATATAGA